ACCAGAAACAATGAATTGAGCACATTTTACTACTGCTGATAATCAACTACGTTCTATTTGTAAATATCATAACATAAAATACGACTTGCGTTTATCAGAATGTTTTTTTATTTAGCAATATTTCACCGTTTCATGTTGGCGGAAATATTTTCTGATTCCCGCGTAATGTATTTATAGGCATGACCCGCGCTAGCTTTGTTCATGTGAACAGAAGATATCAGTATCCTGGGTCAATGACTTGTCGCGGGGCAGTTGTTTATCCCGGGATCATGTGAACAGGGCCTAACAGAAGAGACATCCCTTGGGTACTTCGTTCCGAATCAGCCAATAAGAGTGCATGTCGATGCAGAGAAGAAAACTGAAGGAGCCAACAATGTCCCAGGTGACATGTGTGCAATCTTAACACAGCAAGATTCAGCAGGAGCGTGGAAAATGTGCCATGTCGCGAATAGAAGTCTGACAGATGTAGGAACACGTTATGGACAAACTGAATTGGAAGCAGTGGCAATCAAGTGGGCATGTTGTGATGTGATGCATTCCAGCAGTATCTAGTCGGAGCCCCAAAGTTCGAAATATTCACCGATTGCAAACCACTGGAGTATTTGTTCAACAATCCGACGTCAAGAGCCCCAATTAGGATTGAAAGACAAAACTTAGCCATCCAAGGACTGGATTACATCGTGAGATACGAGAAAGGGAAACTTAACATCGCAGATTATGGTTCTCGCCATATTACCAAGGAACAATCAGATCACGACATCAGAGCCGTTCAGTTTTTCGAAGAAGAAGTTGGTGCGTTCCTATTCGAACCTGATTCCGAAAGTGAGCACATTATCTTGACGAGAGCAAGCGAGGATAAGAACTATCAGGTTTTGAGAAACGTCATAGAAAACGATTTATGGAAGTTATATAAGAACGATCCAGTTTATATCCAAATATGTTGGTATTTCCTCAGAATTATCTGTTGTAAGAGGACTTGTATTTTATATAGATTTGTTAGTCCCACCATTTGTGATGCAGAAAGCATTCGTCGACGAAGCCCATAGAATCGGACACTCAGGAGAGAAACGTACTGTAGATCTATTGCGCGAGAGAGTATGGTTTCCGGGGATGACGAAGATGGCGAAAGACGTTGTCAAGAGTTGCCTGAGTTGTCAGAGTACCTTTGATAGAACGTATGATGAGCCATTACGTTCAACGCCATTGCCACCGAATGTCTGGCACACGATATCAGTCGATTTTAAAGGTCCATTAAAAGATGGAAGATATATATTGGTCGCTTATGATGTGACCCAGTCGTGGGATATTGCAAATCAACTTCGTTTAAAAACGTCAAGCCAATTTTAGACTCGATGTTTGCTACTTTTGGACAAGTACATACCGTTAAGAGCGACAATGGACCGCTGTTCCATGGACACGAATTTCGTGAGTATGCCAAGAAAACAGGATTCAATCATCACAGAATTACACCCAGACACCCACGAGCGAATGGAGAATGCGAAAAGTTTATGCGTAACCTGAACAAAGCGATACGCATAGCAGAGAGAGAAAATGTCGATTATCAAGATTGGATTACGGGTATGCTAGAAGCTTATAGAGCAACGCCACATTCTTCAACATCGAAGAGTCCGTACGAGTTGATGTTTGGTCGGAAGATGAATTTGAGCATTTTTCCAATTCGTAAGAGAAGAATGGGAGATTTGCACATCAGAAATCATGATCGCAAAGTATAAAGAGAAGGCGAAGAAATATCATGATAGGAAGCAAAAGTTGATGTGCGATAACGTTATGGACTCAAATAAGTGCAAAGGAAATAGCCTAATACACGGCATTTCGATAAACAATAAAGGAAAGTTAATCTGGAAGGATTCGTTCGAAGAATTAAAGAAATTTGTCGAAGAATTTTTACCGACAACTGATGGCGAATGGGGTTGCCCAGGTGGAGACGTGAAGCAATACAAATCTGTATATTTAGATCTTAGATGGCATCCGAGTACTCGTTCACTAACTCTAAATGGGAAGTTAAAGGAGAGTATCAACGAAAAACTGATTCATCTAGCACTAGTTACTGGTCAATTAAACAATAAAGACACCGAACACGCTGCTACAGATAAGTATTGCATGAATGAACCCGAGCTTTCTGACTGTAATTGTGCTCATCTTAACACCGATATGGAGGGTATTAAACTAGATATGACGATTTTAGAATCTCGAATGCTTGCCGCAATGTCTGAAAACGAGCATGAGTCGGTTATTATCTCGCTAAGAGTAAAACTAGTAGATATGGAAGCCGTTGTACATAATCAAGACGAAATTATTTCCCGACTTAGCGAAGAAAATCTATCCTTTAGGTCAAGGTTATTGAACCTTGAAAAATTAGTGCATTTCATGTCCCAAGAGTATCGGAACAAAAGCAGTGGAGCGATTAATCTATCTAATATTACAAAAGAACCCTCAACGCGTAACCGCAAGCAATCTATTAATTTGAATAAAAACAGTTTGAGTTCACCTCGAAATATCGATAACAATCTACCTCACGATAACCAACAATATGTTAGTCCGTCTGTAAGTAATATTGATTTTACGGC